AGCTTCGACTAAGCATCTGAAGGATACATTGACCAATTTGCTAACGAATCTCTTCGAACTCTATGTCTTGCATATATGGACATGGGAAGTGAGTTCTCTGCTGAGAGCCCAATTCCCCTTGAGGGATATATTTGTTTAGGAATTGTTGGCATTAAAGATCCAGTTCGTCCTGGTGTCAAAGGAGTCTGTTGCAATTTGTAGGTCTGCTGGCATTACTGTGCGGATGGTAACAGGAGACAACAACAAAACACCGCGAAGGCAATTGCCAGAGAATGTGGAATTCTCACTGATAGTGGTATAGCTATTGAAGGCCCAATATTCAGGATGAAAAGTGAGGAGGAGTTGTGTGAAATTATTCCAAATCTTCAGGTTCTTCTACATTTCTAATTTTGTTATCTTGGCTGAATTTAAGGTGTTGCCGTAACAACAATCAATGGATAGAACACTAAAACTTTTAAAAGAGTATGCATTTATGTATTCAGAATCTGTTATTTCGGATATAGTTACACTCTACATCTTGCCCTGCTTGAGTGGCTGTCACAATATTGCTGGAGAATATAGTAATACAAACATAGACAATGTGTAACTATTATAAATATTTCAATAAGCCATTAGCTACCTACATAGTGTACATAGTGATAACTGCGGAATTAGATTTTCTGATATTTTCTTCTGTCGCAGGTAATGGCTCGATCTTCTCCATTAGATAAGCATACACTCGTGAAACATTTACGAACCACATTTCAAGAAGTTGTTGCTGTGACGGGAGATGGTACAAATGATGCTCCGGCACTCCATGAAAGCAGATATTGGCCTTGCAATGGGCATTGCTGGGACGGAGGTGATACTCCAATGCTGCTTTATTATTGTCCAAGAAATTATTTTGTTCCAAACCTAGATTCTTTGGTATGCCTGAATTTTTGGAAAGGCGAGCATGGAAAAATTTTCCTTTTGAATTCGTATAAAATTTTCCTTCTCGGTATGATGTTGTTGAATCTGGAGAACAATCTTTAAGGAGGTAAGAGAAGGAACTGTCGCCAAAAGTGTAATTGGTCATCTAAACCAGTGTTATTTAAGGTGTAAAGCGAATCGTAGTGAACAAGTCTCTAGAGGCCTAAGCGAGAAGCGAGAGGCGAAGCGAACGCTTCATCGAATCGAAGTAAACAGTAAAAAAAACAAGCAAATATTTTATGATTGACACTATCACATTACAATCAAATAAGTAGATATAGAACATATTAATCAAGCAACTTAAAACAAAAGTAATGACATCAGAAATAGAATCAGCATAAGCAGAAACATGAACAGAATCAGAAACAGAAGAAGCAAAATCAGAAACAGAAACTGAAGAAGCAGAATCAGAGTCCTAGAATTTCATCTATCAGAAACAGAAACAGAAATAGAAACGGAAGCACAATCAGAGTCCCAGATTTCAGAAATCATAAACAGAAATAGAAGTAGAATAGAAACAAAAACCAGAAGCAAAAACCAGAAACAGAAACAAAGCAGAACCGAAAGAAGTAGAAGCAGAGAAGAAGTCAAAACAGAGAATCAGAACCAGAGAAATCAGAGAATCCCAGAAACAGAAACACAGAATCCCAGCCCAAATAAAACAGAAGCAGAACCAGAACCAGAGAAGAATCAGAAGCGGAAGGAGAAACAAAAATCAGAAACAGACGCAGAACCAGAAGAAGAAATTAAAATAGAGAATCAAAACTAGAGAAATCAAAGATTCCCAGAAAAATAAAAACTAAGAATCGGAAGAAGAAGCAGGACCAGAAGAAGAAGAGAAGAGGAGGGAAGAAAAGAAGAACATAACTTGTATTTTAACAAAGTCGCTTGCTTTTCTCGCCTGTCTCTTCGCTTTAACTTCACTTCACTTCACTCACTTTTGCTTCGCCTTGGCTGTTCAAGGCGACAGAGTCTTATTTCGCTTCGCTTCTCACCTAGGCGCTCGCGTGGCTTTCACAATACTGATCTAAACAGTGTGCACTCCAATCTAACCCAACATATTGGACAAATTTTTATCTCCACCACAACCATTTATTTGCTTCTTATTTCCAAGACTATTTTTTTGTGTGGTGGGAAGCATGAGGAATAGACTTCCGCTAGTACTATTACAACTATGGTTTAAGGTTGCGGTATCGGTCATTGACTCGGAGAGCTTTGAGATATCAATTGCTGCGTCGCAGTGTGGCGCATTATCAGGTGATACGGCATAAAAAAACATGTTGAATATAACAAGAGATTTAGGTTATATTGTGGTGTTGCAAAAACATATTAGCCGATTCGGGGATGATAACTTGGCGATTTGGGATTGACTGGAATATAACTCGAATGACTCGGCCGTGTCATGCAATACTCGGTTTTATATGTATAATATATTATCTAACGGTACGACTCAACCGACTTGTATCAGTATCGGGCGATACTTTGAACCATGGTTACAACTGTGGATGTCTTATACATTATGGAGCTTCTGGCTTGTAATGTAGTCTATGTAACTTCATTTGTAACTGGCTCATAGACCAAATGTTCATGATTTTACTAATGAAAAATTGGCAACATGGCTCCTTTGGATCCATATTATGATGTAAGTAATGAAAACTGGACAAGATGACTCCTTTTGATCCATATAAACATTAGAATGTAAGCTCAAATGCTGACTGTTTCGTACTTAATATTTTTGAATTTCCCATTCTTTTCTTTAAATTCTTGCTCAATTACTTTTTCATTGAAAGTAGATGAACCTTAAGTCAGATAAGGTCTGGTAGATGGTTTAACCTCTCTTTTTTTTTTTTTTCTTATTGTTTTTATTTTTATTTTTATTTTTTGAACTTTCTATGCTTTTGATGTAGCCAGAAGATTGCTAGGGCTTGTGCCATCTGGCTCCATCTTTTGGAGTTTCGGATATCACCTTTGCTTTTGGAGCCATTATGATTTGTTTGCTTGGTTTTGTCTCGCTTTCCTTGCTACTGGTTGTGATGCGCGCGTTCTTATGTTTGCTTTTCTTCATCCGGTCCCAGTTTTGATATTTGTGTGGATGGCTTCTTGACTTACTGTAAATATAAAATAAACAAGAAGTAGGAATTATATTTTTTGTTCTTTTCAGGTGGCTAAAGAGAGTGCTGATGTCATAATTTTAGATGATAATTTCTCCACAATTCCAACTGTGGCGAAATGGGGACGCTCAGTATACGTAAACATTCAGAAATTTGTTCAGTTTCAGCTGACAGTGAATATTGTTGCCCTGATTGTCAATTTTTCTTCAGCCTGTTTAACAGGTATGCATTGATTGATCCTTATCCACTCCCATATCAGATTCCCTGTTTTTAATTTATGGTTTCCATATGTCATATTTTGTTCTCCATTTTGTGTTTGCTTGTGCTATGTGCTTCCAGGAAATGCTCCCCTCACTGCGGTTCAGCTTCTATGGGTCAATATGATCATGGATACACTAGGAGCACTTGCACTTGCCACTGAACCTCCTAACAATGACTTAATGAAGCGGTTACCAGTTGGAAGGAAAGGGAACTTCATTAGTAATGTGATGTGGAGGAACATTTCAGGGCAATCTTTATATCAGCTGATAGTAATATGGTATCTGCAGACAGCAGGAAAGGCAGTCTTTCATATCCATGGCCCGGATTCTGATTTGATTCTTAACACAATCATTTTTAACTCATTCGTATTTTGCCAGGTAAACACGAGTCTTGACATACAGCATTACAACAAATTGTTCAGTTGACTTGTGGAGATGACTTCCTTGTGTTATAATCCCTTAGTAAATCTTCTATCACTACCAACCAAAACAAAAAAAACAACACAAAACGCTTGTATTACCACCATCATCACGTCCTATTACTGGGCATGAAGTAGTTATCCTATGTTGGATTTTAACGCTTCAGTCACCTCAGGACACATTAGTTTAAGGCCATAGTATTGATGATAGCATCACATTTCATCCTACAGGACTGGTAACTCTTCCTTATGATATTAAGATGAAAGTTTAAGTCGTTAAGCATAAGCATAAAGGTAGCACCGATGATATTATATGTTTCATGGTTACAAGGGAAACTAATTCATGTAATTTTCCTAGTTGCTAAACTTACAATTTGCGGAGCCGACTAGAATAAGTCAAACTAATAGTTCTGGGTCACAATTTATGTGCCTAGTTTGCCAAAAGTTAATGCAAGTTATAAAATAATGGTGATTTTTTCTGCAGCTTTTCAACGAGATCAGCTCAAGAGATATGGAGAAGATAAATGTCTTCAAGGGCATACTGAATAACTATGTCTTTGTGGCTGTACTCATTTCCACGGTCTTCTTCCAAATTGTTATTGTTGAAATTCTGGGTACTTTTGCAAACACTTCCCCCCTCAGTTTACACCAGTGGTTTGCAAGCGTTTCCATCGGATTCCTTGGCATGCCAATTGCTGCTGCCGTTAAGATGATCCCGGTGGGATCAACATGAACTCAGCTGAAGTGAATGGGGGCGCATTGTGACTCAATTCCCTGAGATTTCTCTCGTGGAAGTGCTTTTCTACCACATTTACACTACTATCATCACTGGAGTTGATAGCATCTTTCATACAGTAAAAGCTGAAGCGTTGCAAATTCAAATGCTTAAGATCACCCACATATACAGCTGCAAAAGTTAGGTAATTTTTGTAAGCATCTTTTTTAGACTTTCATCTAACATTTTCTTTGAAGTATGGTCTGACAGAACACTTAGAAGGGTTACAATTGGATTTCTTCCTAAATCTAATTGATTTTGTAGACTATACCTTTTGATTTTTTCATGTGTTCATTCAGTGTTCTAGTGGTTGATCATGTATTTGTTGGATTATTTGCATTTATTTTCTGAACTTTGGGTTTGGTTTTGAGTAATATATTGGGCATATTTGGAGCAAGTTTTTTTAGATAAAAAGCTGGGATTTGAAAAGCTTTGACAAAAAATCAGAATTAAAAATGTTCTCTAAAATTGTTTGCGGTGTTCTTTAAAAAGTTGGAAAGGTTTTTTTTTTTTTCGGTCTGTAAAAAAAAAAAAAGCTGGAAAGGTTGAGAACGTCTATTTGGAGTGATTTTTTTTAGCTTTTTTGCCTTTTTTTATTGAAATAAAAAAATAATTATATGTATGTATAGATTATGTATAATAATTTTTAAAATATGAATTTTATATTTATTTTACGTCACTAATAATTTTTTATGAATATAATAAATTAAAAAGTTATGTGGAATTTATAACAAAACTCTCAAAAATCAAAAGAAAAGTGCATAACTCAAACCTATAATTTAAGGTAGTTACATCAAGTCCATTTTCGGTTCATCATGGTTTCTTTCAATCTGGGGCTCAAATTTTCGCTACTGGACAAACCTCTTTTATGCAAATCTTTACCCCTTGGAGAGTTGAGTGCCATCTAGCAAATATCTTTTCAGCCAGTTTAAGCGTGTCAATTGAACTCAGTATATCAGCATTAATAAAACAATCGTAGTCGGTGCACCAGATTTTCTTCTATAAGAGTATTTTTAACCCTAATTTAAATTTAAATTTAAAATTTAACCCTAATTTAAATTAAATTTAAATTTAAATTATTTTTACTTTATTAAAACTGAAAAATCTTTTTCGAAGAAATACTTTAAACTCACAACAAGTTGCCCATCCTATCTCAGTCTTCAATCTTTTTAAAATAGAGAGTATTATTAAAGATGTTCCTACCGAAAGAATGCTAAGATCAGAATTTGATTTTGACTCTACATAGCCAATGGTACTGTAGCCTATATTCTACGTGTAGGCCCGCACCCAACCTTTTTCCATAGTGCCAATGAACTTTCTTTTTTGTAACATGCATAAACATTACTGAAAATGGAGAGGCTGTAGGTGGATGTTATTCATGTCTAACAGAACACGTGAAGCATTAAATTTATTTGACTTCTTATGCTGCTGTAATTGTCCTTCAATTATTACACAAATAATTTTACAAAGAGTAGTATTAAAATTGATTTAATTTATTAATCCAATAATGTAGTCTAATAATGTTATTTTTTTTTATTAGAGGATGTCCAAGTTTGTGCAAATTATTCCCTCGAACTCAAACGATTGGCCACCAAGACTTGGTCTAATAGTGTTGTTATGATTGTAACTTTTGGACTACTCTATTCCTTATCATATCATTATGTTAAAAAATTAGACTAATTTTTTAAGTCAGAATAGAATTATTGTTTTGTAAATTAGATGATTGCAAACCTTGAATCCAACTTGAATTTTGTACCAATGTATAATTAGATGCGTGCACCTTTATTCCGACTATTTCACTATTAAAATCTATTAAGAGATTGATTCAAATAGATTGATAATTTTAAAAAAAATTTCCCAAAAATTAGTAATTTAAAAGTAATAATAACTTCATAAACATGCTTACCCAAAAAAAAAAAAAAATTCATAAACATGACCTGTTTGCTTACGACAAGAGAGAGAAACGTCTGGACAGAGTCCACCACTACTCCGAGAAGCTAGCACTTGATCGAAAGCGCGCACGTGCCGTTGTAACCGTTTCCCAAACTCACGTGCTTTCTAAACCCACACGCCTTCTATGTGCCCGAGAGTCCCCAGCTGGCACGTAGGTCCCACATCAACACATTTTCCTCTCCTAATCTCACACCTTTCGTCGTTCCCAACATAAGGCCAATATATATTCCACGTCATCGCCCTCACACTACTTCGCTGTGCTATCTACCACCCACCGAATACTCCAAACGACCAAATTGAACAATTCCCTCTCTCTCCTCTTCACAATAAACGCACCAGTTTCTCGTGGATTCCCATTTGCTCTCCGTACATCTATACCGCCTCAAATCTAGAGAGAGAGATATCCATCGCTCTTTACAACTCCTTTCAAAAAAATCTTTCATGGATAAATCTTCATTGAATTCTACCACAGTTTCTTCGGTTCAATCTCTTCCCTCCCATTTATTTTTCTCTAAATCTTTTCATCGTTTGTTTCTTCGTCAACCTTGTAATTTCTTTTGACGGTATCGACTACGATTTGTCACGAATGGGTAAACGTAAGTTCTTTTGCCTAATTATGCGTATATATGTATCAATATGTGTTCCGATTTGTCAATTACAGAGTGTTATTTTGATTGATTAAGGTTTTGTCAAATGCCTAATGTTTCTCGTTTAATTTTGTTCGTTAAAATTGTGCGAAACCCTAGAATATGAGTTTTTGCTAAACATTCCTTCGGTTTCTAGATAATTGAGCTTAAAATCCCTGCGGTTTTGATAATTGTTTGTGTTAACGTTTTCTTTTTTCTGTTCTTGTTCAAGATTGGTGTTGAATGTGAATTGAGTTCTTGTTGTAGGAAATTCTCAACGTAAGAATGCTGCGATTTTGGATAGTGACGACACCGATAGCGTGAGTTCGTCGTCTACTTTCCGGTCGGATAATGTGCTTGTGTCCGGTGCTGAGGACGTTCAGCTTGAGAAAGAGAGTATACTTGATCAGTGTTTGGATGCTTTATATGAGAAAAGGTACTGAATGTTAGTTCAAAAGAAATTTGTGTACGTTGCAGTTGTAAATTGTGCCATAAAGGTTAACAAATCCTATGTTATAGTGAGATTTACTAACTTTGGAGTCTGGCTAGACTTGCAATCAAATGTGGATTGCTGTTTTATTATCTTACCTAAATATATGAATGTCGTCTTATTATGTATATCTGTTGTTTATAGGGGGTCCACAAGAGAGAAAGCTTTGGCTTCAATTATAGAGGTCTTTAATAGATACTTGCAGCACGAGTTTGTGGAAAAGAAGTAAGCTGTTATGCTGTTTTTTTTTTTAATCTTATTTTGTTGGACATTGTTCTGTTATGAGTTTCTCTTAGGCTATGTGAGCCTGTTTTGAGAACTTCCCCAAGAGAAAAGGTGGGTCAATCATGGTTTGTTTTCATTGGATATCATTTTGCGAAGATTAGAATCTGTTTCTAGCTGATATAGTTTCAACTGGTTTCTTTGCCAGTGAACTTCTATCTCTTTTTTGTTTATGCAAGCAATCTAAGTGAACTTCCATAGAATATCATGTGGTAACCACAATTCAGTCCGTGCTACTTGTCCAAATATATCCCTTTGCACTTTGCTTCTTGGGATTCTTTTAAGCTGGTTTACTAGAGTGCAAAAGTATAAAATGAAATATAAAAAAAAATAAAAAGAACAGGAATGCTATTAGATATTGATGCATCTGTCTGCCTGAAAGCTATTAGAGAATGATGCAGCAATTGGCCTGTTGGTCTTTTTTCAATAACACCCCTGTGCTTTCGAGGTTCTCACAGTATTATTGTTTTTGTGTAGCTTTGCAACATTACTGCATCAATTTCTGAATTCCATCAAGAAGGGGTCTGCCAAAGAGATAGCTTTAGCATCTCATGCAATTGGTTAGTGGTCATACTCTTCTTTTGACGCATTTGGGCTTTATAGCTTGGTTTGAAGCACATTTAAAAATTTTTGTTTTCTTTTGTTAGGGTTGTTGGCTCTAACAACTGGTCCTGGGGACAAAGCAAAAGAAATATTGGAAGAATCAGTCTCTCCTATTTCACAGGCCCTTAAATCTCTGTCTGAAACAACTAAGATATCGTCGGTACGTATGATATTGGTGCATTGGTTGGTTTCCTGATTCCAATTTGTATTTTTTTCTCATGAATTAAATTTGTATTTAATTTTCGCACAAGATGCTGAGTCACAAATCTGTTGTTTTATGGGCAATGTGCATCCTTAATGCTAGTTACTGGAGTGTTTGGCTATAATCACTTTTGTTGGTGGCGAAGAGGCGGAGGAAACAGAAAAATCAATGCAAATAATGTGGCAAGTGGTTCATCCAAAACTTAGCTCTAATGTATGTATCCACATCTCATTCTCTTTCATTTGAAACACATTGAATCTCACCATGTTTACATGCTTTTAGTATTTGTGCATTTGTTCACAAATTGGTCTGTTGTGCACTGGATCAAGCAATATTATTTGCTATTTGTATCTGTTTTGGTTTTGCAAGTTGATCAGTTTTTGCTGGTGATATCTTTGATTTTGTTTGTAATGGTTGTTGTCAAACCTGTGGACTTTTGATGCATAAATCTGCTACTCTTCATTTGATGATTAATCTATATGTGTTTGTTTTCATTGGAATTGTGATGGAAAACTGCTGGTGGACATTTCAGGTTGTTGCCACTAAACCTTCACCGGTTATGATAACAGCTGTGGTATCTGCTTGGTCATTTCTCCTAACAACTATGGATGGATGGACACTTAACTCTAAAAGTTGGCAACAGTGAGTAGATCTTGATCTTAGCTCAATGATCTCTCTCTTTCTCACACACGTACTTGCTTGCCTACACGCACAGGCCCAAATACACATACCCATATATTTGATCACTGCCATAAGAGAGTTTCTAAACTTTGCTGGATCTAAGAAAACACCTACACCTATGCTAGGTGCCATTAAACTTGGGCTTCATTACACACAAGCATAGTTATCAAATCGTGTATCGGAAGGCGTATCGTAAGATACAAATATTGTATCGTATCGTGTATCGTAAGATACGATGCAATTTTAAATAAATAATAAAAAAATATATATACCTTTGAAAAAAAGTCATACACTCATAAAAAATATAGCATTTCATTAATACTCCACCAACTATTCAAGTTATCAACATAATCCACTACTATTATAATGCAAAGTTCACAACCATAGTTCACTAATTCAAAGTTCAAACTTTAAACACCAAAGAGACTTCTAATCCAAATTTCTAACATCCATTTTGAACTCAATCTTCAATTTCAATTGAAAATGCATCATCATCATCATCATTGTGATCGGATGCCAACAAGTCTTCACTTGTCGTTTTTTTAAAAAAAAAATCAGAGCACAAAACGACGTCGTTTTTTAAAAAAAAAAAAAAAAAAAAAAAAAAAAAATTGCACGTATCGTGCGTATCGTACCGATACGTATCGTATCGTAAAAACGTATCGTGTATCGGACGATACAACGCAAAAACGATACATAACTACGATCCGTATCGTTTTAGGGCTGTATCGTAACGTATCGTACGATACGTATCGCGTATCGTACGATACTAACAACTTTGCACACAAGTGCCAACAGTTGCAAGGCCAACAATTGGTGCCTAGCAGATTCAGCGAGAAATTAACTTACCTTTTCTTGTGCAGGTCAATTTATTATTTTTCTACCCTGCTAGACAAGGATGATAGGTCTGTACGCATTGCAGGTGGTGAAGCACTTGCCTTAATTTTTGAGATGGGAAATTTGGATAAGTTCTGTGGTGAAGCTAAAGGATCTAATGACAGCTCCACTATTGAAGGGAAAAATTCTCAGGAGTTTGTACATATCCAGGGATTGAGGGAAAAAATCCTTAATCAAGTGAGAAACCTTTCCGTAGAAGCAGGTGGTAAAGGTTCTGCTAAGAAAGATCTTAACCACCAGCGGAACTCGTTTAGAGATATTCTAGAACTGCTTGAGGTACTTTATTATCAGTGTCGGAATATAAACTTATGACCCTCTACCTGTGTGTTAGCTGGTATAGTGACATTTCTTTAAATGAACATCAGGATGGCTATAGTCCAGATACCTCATTGAAGATTGGTGGAGAGTTGCTAAGCACAACAACTTGGGCCCAATTGATACAAGTTCATCCTCTTCTTTTATTGATGTTTTTTTAATTTTTAAAATTTTAAATGTGAATGCCCGCACATTCAAAAGTTTTATAATCTTTCTTTTGAAACAGTTGAACTTTCTGAAGCATTTTCTTGGCGGAGGATTTGTTAAGCACATGCAGGTTCTGTTTTTATTCCATAACTTGTTCTCCAGAATCTTTTGGGCGAAAATTCTTGTTGATCTCTATTATGTTCTGACAGCCAATTATTTATCCTTTTTGTTTCTGGATTAAAACAGGAAAATGAATTTCTTCACGACCTATTTGATTTCACACCTAAGTCAAAACTTCTTTTAGGAACTGAGGGCCGTATATCTGCTATTGAGAAGGCAAGTTCACACCATTTTACTGCATTGTTTTGGTATTCGTAAGTATAAGTTTTTGGTGGAATACATATGTAGCTGTTGAGTATATTGTACTGACAAGTAGGTATTTTTGACGATTTAAAACAATTGTATCCATTTGTATGACATAATATGATATGATACTCTGCGCAATGCTATGACCCTTGTTACTTGCATATTGTGGGTTGCATATTGTAGGTGGGAGAGTTAAAGAAGGCTGACACACGCGTCTGTACCAAGTAATCAAAAAGGATGAGTAGGATAAATAGATGAGATGCAAGACACTCGAACAGCCTGTTAACGAAGGGACTAATTGATTGGGCAGCGTAGGTGAATAGAGTGAAAAATGCTCTCACCAACTAGAAATCTTATCCTCCGCAGTGGGGCGATTAATACGAGTATTTATGGCACAGTGCCCAGGGTCGGGCTGTCCGCCGCGATCCTTTAACGACCACGTTAACCCACAACTGCCTTAATCACGGCGATACCAATGGCCGCTAACTTTGAGTTACTTGTTCCGACATTAATTTCTTAGATGTGATGTTTCCTCCAAACGAAGTATGGACGTGGTTCGGGGAAAGTGCAATAGTTGAGGCGAAACGGGGGTTCCCAAGGTTAATGATCACTACTGGCCACTGAGGGACCCTGATCTCGAGAAGTCTATGTACACGATGCCCTTAGCGCTCTCCTACCTGGGGTCCTCCTTTCCCTCTTTGAACCCTTCCTTGAGACTGTTGTCAAGGGGTCCGATAGTATAAACCTACATAGTTTCAATCCTTCAATTACTAATCCACATGTCTCATTATCCCATATGTTAATTCGGAACAATAATCCCAATTATTTTAGGAGTCCCTCCAGATCTCAGTCAAGCACATCCTAGTAGGAAGTGAGCCATACACTGGGAGGCTTGCTCGAGTAGACTAAACCGTCGAGATCTTGTCTTAAGTCGAGGCTGACAATCACGCTCGTCAACGCCCGTTGCTTAGTTCTCTTTTGAGGAGGGCCACACTGCCAGTCCCTAGGTGAGAATCCCTCCTCTTAGTCCAGTGGGTCAGTTGAGTAACTGTGTCCAGTAGATCGAGGATACCAATTCCTGTTGGCTATGCAATCCTAGGCTTGTGTCTTGTTTCCGCAGTAGGGGAGGCGGGTCATGCCAAGGTTGCCCTTGACCTTTTGCGGTGCCATTTTCCCATTTCCAATGTGAAGAGGATGGATCCCGCCCTTCGTGGGGATGGTGCCTGTCGCAACACTGGAATGCCTGTCGTGGCACTAGTGTGCCTGTCGTGATGTTGTTGTCCGTACCAATCTTCCTGGGCTTGTTGGGCACCACTGTCATGTAAACTGATGACTGTTGCCAATTTTGTCATGTTATGGTGTAGACATGTGTTATGAATTTACCAGGTACTACACATATCATAGTTGCATAAACATTTAATAAATTTATGAGAGCTGTTGGCAAGCTTCTACATTTTGAATTTAGAGGCGGCTTGGTTTCATATTGGGCATCCTCTATGAACTCTTTTTTTGCTTTGTGAATTTACGCTGCAATTTTGATCTCCTACATTTTATAAATATTAAAAACTGATCTCACATTCAGGATAATGTGGGAGAAGAATGTAATGCTCTTTTTATTGAATTCTGTTGACTTTATACGACTTAGGTGTGTGCACTGTTTCTTTTTGTATTTATGCCGAATAGAGGTTGCTTTGCCCCCCCCCCCCCTCTCTCTCTCCCCCTTCTTATCATTCTCATTCTCTCTCATACGAAGGTAATTATCTTTTCATGCAGAGGCTGTACAAATCTCCGAACTCGGTTCTTAGTAAGGCAAGGACCCAGTTCTTGAACAAGCAGCGTACATTGTCGCAGGTAATTTCTTTTCTATAGATGAAGTCCACTAACTCATTCTACTGTTTAGTTGCATGTGTTTTGCCTGTTCAACAAGTTTTCAATATTAAAAGAATGGGATTATGAAATGTTCTAGACAAATAATTATTTTTTTAATATGTTTCTGCTTGGATACGTGACCTATGCTTGCCTGATGATTAGGATTCTGTTTGTAATCGGGTGACCTGCAACTACTAGGTCATTTCTTAGGCTTTAGAAGTTGTAAAAGCTTTAGTGACGAGAATGTTGTTTTCTCAATGTATGGATCTAGATATCCTTTAGTATTTTTTCTTGCCATTTTCCTGGTAGATCCCGCACCATGCATCAGTGAGGGACTCACTTATATACAATGATCTATCAAGAACGAAAATAGAGGATATATATGAGAGAGCTCACCCCCACCATGTATACAATGCTAATGTCAATGTATGCCGTTAAGCCTATGTGAAGTGTGTTGATGGTTTGCCTTTGTGCAGGATAAGAACACTGGCCGCTTTGCCGTTGGTTTAGGTGAGGAGGAGGTTTAGAGTCGAGACGCAGCTTAATGCTCATGCTGAACAATGCAGGATTAAATGACCCAGTATAGGCTTTAGTAAAACATTAAATCAACATTATTGGTATTCAGATTTATGTGGAAATGATATTAATCTAGTTAGTGATCGCTAGTCCAATGGACGTTATACACATTGATCAGGGCAAATTATGTTGTATCTTGTTAAAAGTTATTTTTACACTAAATTCATGGGGTAACAATGGAATGAATGTCATGTCATGTGGTTGTGCGTGGGTGCTTATAGGGTGCAACTTGGGTTGGTTGAGAGGTTAATCCTAACTCAATCCTAAATATATAGTCTTTAACCCTAACCCTAATCCTAATGTTACCTCAACCTGAGGTACTCAACTCAAGTACTACCCGAGTTTAATTCGGATGAGCTGGAGTTGGATTTGAATTATTTAATTCAGGCTGATTTGGGGTTAAAAATTGGGTTGACTTTGGTTACTTAATTTAGATTAATTTTTTGAAGTGTAAATTTGATTTTTTCAAGTGTAGATTTGATTTTTTCAAGTGTAGATTTAATTTTTTTTAGTGATTTGAGATGAAGGGTGAGGCGCAAATGAAGAGAGAAAGGGTGAGAGAAGGAGGAATGATCTCAGAGAGAGGGAGGCTGAGGAGATGAGACGACTCAGATGAATGACGATTGAGAGAGGAAGGAGTGCCATAGGGATGAAAACTTGAAGTGAAATAAAAATTTTGACTCTAAAGAGTGAAGATAAATACTAACCTTAGTTAAATATATTTATATAGTTATGTATATTCTGATTCAACCTGATTTAGTAATCGGGTTCAATCATATTTTAATATTCAAATTGAATTTTATAATTCGAGACCTCAACCTGAGACTTGCTTAATTTCAATTCGGATTGAAGTTTTTTTGCCCAAATTCAACTGAAGTATTAAAAATTTTAATTCAAGTCTTGTTTTTTTCGTGTTGGGCTCGGGTTGGCCCGCCCAATTTGCACCCCTAGGTGTTTGTCTTTCTAATGTTGAAATGGAGATAATCAAATTGGGGATTAGAACCGATACCTTTGGTATCATACCAACAAATATATTTTAGTTATCGTATTTGAGTTAATTATAACCATTGATTGTAGAAATAATAAAAAAGAATAATACAATAATAAAAAGTTTACCCGTGTCAATTTCAAAGTAGTCTAAAACAAAAGGTATAAGATCAAAATGTTATTTTTTGATAATGTAGTTTAACCCTATGTATGAAGTAGCTTTGGCCTTAATTATATTTTGAGACAGGACTGGAGCCATTAATGACAATGTTCAAGTCCTTCGATAGACATGGATTTAACATCGCTGGCTCCACCTACGATGAATAGCTAAGCGACTAAATAATGGTTCAAAATTTAGTAGCTCCAAGAGATGTGTCCTATTTAGCAAATATGATGGTATTTGATAAAATTAAAAACTAATTATGGTAAGTTAAATGTTGGATACTCAATTTAATAATTTTAAAAGTAATTGGCATGTATTGAAATTTATACTCTGTTTCATATGATGGAAAAATATAAAGATGAAAAGTTAGAATGATTGAAAAGTGGATGATGAGTTTTTTTTTTTAACTCATTAAATTCAATCTCTCTAAAATTAGAAGGAAAGTAAATTAAAAGTGAATTATTTGTGTTGAAATGTATCTTATTTCTGTACATATCCTTTGATATATAAATACAATGACAAAATATATATATTTATTTTTTAAAAAAAATTAAAATAAAAAAATATTTTTTTCTATTATAGTCAGGGGTAGAAATTTTTGTCTCAATACGATTATACGATTCGAACACGACATAAATTTTATAATACGAATTTGATTATAATTCGACACGAACTCGAAAAATGACCTAACACACGAAAACGAAAATATAAAAAGGTTCATATTCAATTCAACTCATTAAACCCAAAATTGGCACCATCAACCTGTTTATTTAAGAATAAACGTTTTCTCTATTTTCTCATTTGCATGGTAACACGAAATTAATATGTTTAACTAGTATTATAGACATAAAATGTTAATAATTTGTAACTATTTAATAAGTACTGACATAATTATTATATAAAAAAGATATTTTTATTTATTATTATTATTATTATATTTATTTAAGTTAATTTTTAGTTTGTAGGAAAAGTATGAACATTGATTCAATTAAGTAAAAATAGAATATTAGCATTAAATTTTTTATTCAAAGTTTATATAGGTCAACATGAATACGTACATAATACAAAAATAAACAGGTCAATTCAATATGACACGATTACTTAAATGAGTTGAGTTAGGTTTGACTAATGTATGACACAACCCACAATGAACCTGATACGACAAGACTCGATTGTAACCCTTAATCTTAATAAGCACAAAAAAAAATGATTAATTTTATGTTCCATCAATCCTATCAAACACAGAGGAAATAAAGTGTATTACTCATACTTTTCTTTCTTGATTAATAGAAAGTGTATCCCTTCTACTTTTCATTTCACCTACTTTCCATATTTCCTACCGAACAGAGTGGATATTAAACATAAGATTGAAATTTATGATTTTCTAAGTCTTCCACCCCCAGCACCTCACCTGTCACCCATCACTCTACATGCACCCCTTTTACTTTACCACTATTAGTGTCACAACTCTGCCACCACCACCTCCATATCCATCATCACAATGGTGACGACAGTGGTTGAGGTGATAGTGTTTACTGTGTTGGTAATAGAGTTACTGAAAGTGGTAATAACGATGGTGGGGTGGTGTGTGATTATGTGATGGTAGTGGTGTGACAGCGGCTTGTTGGTTGTGATTGTGGTGGTGCTGGTGACAGCTATAAGATGATGGTAATGGTTGGAGATTTGGAGTGATGGTGGTGACAATCATAATGGTGGTTGTGGTTGTGATGGTGATGGTAGCAATGAGATGTTGATAGTTGTTGGTTTGATGGTGGTGGTAACAATAGCATTGGGATGATGGTCATAGTTGGTTCGATGGTGATGACGGTCACAATGGTGGTAGACAGTGGTATTACTTTGGTGAGGTGGTAGTGGTGGGGTGGTGGAGAGTGAGGGTATAGGATGAATGTCGATCGTAATTGCAGAGGGTACATTAATTCATGATGAAAAAAATATTTTGTAGTAGGTGTGGGATCTTACACTTAATATTTTGATTTAGTTTTGGGAGGTGCCTAAATTTGTTAAGTAATGTAAATTTGAGATACCAAACACATTTGTAGGGGTGGGCTTTGACTTCGCCAAAGTGAATTTTCCCATTAGACTCAACACTATATTAACTTTACCAATCAGAGTCCATGCGGAGTCGGAGCAAAGTTTCAAAAATGGACACAATCCAATGCTACCGTTAGAACCACCAATTTGTATTGTTCCATGAATTAAGTCGATCGGTAAACTGACTCATCACTGTTCCACATCCGACCGGGTCGCATTGTCGGCCCCCATTCATTTTTCTCTCGACAATTTTTAGCACTCTTTGACTCTCTTTTTGAAGTCATTTTCATCTTTCTTTCGCGGTACTTGTTTGTTTTTGGTCTCTCACTTATATTTAGCCTTGGACGGAATTTACCACCTGATTTGGGCTGCATTCCCAAACAACCCAACTCGACAACAACGCCTCTTGGTGCGATAGGGTTCGGGCACAACGGGGCTCTCACCCTTTTTGGCACCCCCTTCTAAGGGACTTGGGTTCGGTCCGTCGCTGAGGACACTTCTCCAGACTATAATTCAACGGCGTAACCATCCGATTTTCAAGGTGGGCTATTCCTAGTTCGCTCACCGTTGGTCCGTTACTAGTAGAATCCTTGTAAGTTTCTTTTCCTCTGCTTATTGATATGCTTAAACTTAGCAGGTAATCTCGTCTGACCTGGGGTTGCAGTCGAAGCACCATCGTTGAAGAAGGCGCACAGGGTCACGGTTGGAGTTCGCTACAGACTTAGTGTCTCACGACATGATTCGAGAAGTCTTTCAACCACCACTTGTCGTGACATTCATCTTCAAGAACTCATTTTTTGGGCCAACTGTGCATTGTCGTGGATGGGAGGCCAATTTTAGTCCCAACTTCCATTATATCCTACTAGGCATTAGGGTTCGGGTGACTTGATACGTGACGCTCAGGCAGACGTGCCCTTAGCATAATGGCTTTAAACACAACTTGCATTTAAAAACTCAATGGTTCACAGGATTTTACAATTCACATTAAGTATCACATTTCGCTACATTCTTCGTTGGTACGAGAGCTAAGATATTCATTGTTGGGAGTCATTTTAGATTCAAAAGATGCAAATGCCTCTGTGCATGCCGCAAATGGGTTATTGGGAAACTAGCTCTTCAGTTAGGGTTCCTTGGTGTAGATAGTGTTGGGGTTCGTTGTCGAGAACTTGAACAAATCTCTGCTGGGGAACACGAGCAAATCCCCGAGGCGAGGAAGTGTTTTAGGGGTTCACACATCCCTTCTCAACCTCGAACATATTTTGACAAGTTTGTTGGTCTACTTTGCAAGCATCAATAATGATCCTTTTGCAAGTTCACTTATAGAAACCTTGCCATGACTTCTCCTTTCTCTAAATGATAAGGTTCAGTGGATTTATTGCGATGTTGTCGACAGCAAACCACCCATGTCGCCATGATCCGAACACTTCATCGGGCCATTCAATCAATAGGAGCGACGGGCGGTGTGTACAAAGGACAGGGGAGTAGTCAACGCGAGTTGATGACTCGCGCTTACTAGGACTTCCTCGTTTAAGACTAACAATTGCAATGATCTATCCCCATCACGATGTAGTTTCAAAGACTACTCGGACCTATTAACCAAGGCTCTAAACTTGTTCAATACATTAGTGTAGTGCGTGTATGACCCAAAACATCTAAGGGCACCACAAACCTGTTATTTGCTCAAACTTCCATGGCCTAGGAGGCCATAGTCCCTCTAAGAAGTTGGCTGTGAAAGGATACCTCAACATAGCTAGTTAGTAGGTTGAGGTCTCATTCGTTAACGGAATTAACCAGACAAATCGCTCTACCAATTAAGAGCGGTCATGCACCACCACTCATAGAATTAAGAAAAAGCTCTCAATTTGTCAATTCTTACTATGTCTGGACCTGGTAAGTTTTCTCGCATTGAGTCAAATTAAGTCACAAGTTCCACTCTTGGTGGTTCCTTTTCTTCAATTCCTTTAAGTTTTAACCTTGCGAGCATACTCCCCCCATAACCCAAAAAACTTT